TTTTATTATTTATTATTATTTATGCCTACAGCACCTCGTATTCGTACTTGGGTGGTCTTCCATCCAAGTACTAACCAGGCCCGACCCTGCTTAGCTTCTGAGATCAGACATTGGGCTTGTTTAGGGTGGCATGGCCATAGACCATGGACCGTGGCCCCACTGGGGAGTGAACCCAGGACCTTCTGCATAATAAGCAGACATGCTAACCGCTACACTATGGAACCACGTCCTCATTTTCATTTTTGTGGGTTTTTGTTTGTTTGTTTTTGGTGGGGGGGCGGGGAAGATCTTAAAATTCTCTTCATAAAACAAATCTGATAATGTTACTCCTTTGATTACAAAATCCAGTGGTTCACCACCAACTCCTTTCCTTAGCAGGGCATATTGGCTTGCTTCTTTCCAGTTTTGCCACCATCTGCTCTCGGGGACTGGTTTTTAAGATGAAAGAAATAATAACCCATTATGATACTGATGGGAACGATTCAGTAGAGCAGGAAAAATTAATGAGGCAGGAGATAGAGGGAAAAACTGGTAGAGCAGCACTGACAAGGTGTCATGCATTAGTGAAGGGGTTGAACTTAGCTGAGCTGGGAGCATCACTAGTTCATCCACTGTCACAGGAGTGAAAAGAGCATATGACTACAGATGTGAGTAGGTGGGTAGACAGCAGTGGGAGTCTATGGAAATTCTCTTCAGACTTCTTTAGTTTTCTCAGCAAAATAGTAAGCCAAGTAAACAACCGAGAATGAGGATGGATGAGGAATGTTGGTGTTCTAGAGAGAGAGAAGAAAATATGAAACCCAAGAAAGTGGGCCATTGCATGGACTAGTACAGGGCAGTAGGGCCCACTTCAGGAGCAATCATGGATTTAAAGGGGAACATTCAACACAGGTTTTTCTCTAGTGAAATTTAGCTGTGTGGGTATAGGTGCAGATTGGGTGGAGAATTGGATTTAACCAGGTTGTGGTTTAGCTGAGTACAACAGAGAGAGGCGAGAAAGTTGTACTCCAGGGACTGATTATTATTGCCCATGTAATTGAAGCTGGATGAGAGGAAAGATTCTCCCAACATTATCATGTAGTAGCAACCACAAGCAATAGTCCTGTTTTACACATGATGCCCCTGATAACAGAGCTTTTCAGTAAGAGGTTATATAACTTGTTCAAAGTCACACTTCATAGCAGACACTGAGGTTGAATACAGGTCTCCTAACTCAGTTTAATCCATTTACCACTCAGGATATCAGACATTCTCTCTTTAGAGAACAATTCATTTTCCCTTAATATGATAGCAGATGTTTAATCTTCAGTCACCAAATCATCATATGCATGTGTCCCTTAGAGTATAGCTACAATCTATTAAAGTTGGCTCCGAAATAATTCAATTTTCCCCTTGACTTGGATCATAAAATTAGAACAGCATTTTACAGAGAGCATTAAAGCATCTTCTACACTACTTGCTCTTTTTAAGATACATCCTATACTGTTCTTCCTGCATCCATTTGCTCGTTCATTTGTTCTCTCTGATAGGACTGTCATTTACCAATCTTCGCCCTTTCCTTTTGAAAACATAGGCATCCCTGACACCCACCTCAAATACTATGTTTTTTGTGAAATCTTTCTGGAAGTTTCTACTTCCTCGTCTCTTTCCTCACCTACACCCCCAAACTGGATGCAGTTTCCCTCCTCTTTTGAATACCTTTTAGCATTTTGTTCTTGCTTCTCTTATGGGATTCATCATATTCTACCTTATATATTTGTGAACTGATGTCCCTGCCCTTCCCATATATATAACCAAATATGTACATGCTTATAAAGAATTCAAAGCATGTTTTACTCATCTTTGTATTAAGTGCTCAAAACTCACAAATAGTAGGTGTTCAAATAATTTTTTAATGAATTTATCAATAGATGTGAGTGTAACCCTGGAAAACCTTTGACAAGAAAGGAATTTTAGGCAAAAATGGGCAGTCTGGCTGGTAGGCTTGAAACAGCAGCGGACTTGGATGGGCCTCAGTTGCAATTTGCACTGTCCTTCATTTCTTCTCTGTGAGATAAGGGATAAGACAATATCAGTGGTTAAAATATTCAGCCGAACTGGAGGTTCCAAGGAGTCCCTTCAGGGGCTGTCACAGCTTCTCTATCCTATGAGGATCAAGTAGAAGATATGTCCCTACATCCAAAACTTAAGGCAAACATGTATAAAAGATTGTGTCTATAACAATGTGAATGACTAAAAATCATACAAAACAACTGAAATCCAACTAGATTATAAAGCACTTCAAAAGCTGGTTTCTGCTTCTTTACATATCTTCAGCCCCAAGTCTGACAATTTCTCAAGTGAGGGTGAGGTGCTACTTGCCCCTTAGGGGCATTTTATCAATTTTGAAGACTTTCGTTTGTCTTCTGGTATTGTCCCTGAGAATTTATATGTTGAAATAAGTATTATTTTAAATTAATTTTTTTCGATACTCCTTCATATTATCAGTAAGGATTATTTTTTTTTTTTAAATTATGTGTGTAGGTAGGTGACTATACCTTAAGGTTTATAAAGGAATATTATACAATTTTTGGTATAAGAAAGATGTTGGGTTTGAGTTTGATAGTAGTTGAGAACTATTGGTCCATGCTCTATGCTTAGGTGCTTAGATGTTTGGAAACGATGATGTAATCAAGGACCAGAATGAGTGGTAGACATTTCAAGTGGTGGAGAAAATTAGAGAAAGAAAGATTTGTGGATTCAGGTAGTAATGAAATGTCTGTTGGAGGAGAGGATTGTTAGAGGGAATCTTGCATATTGAGGACCAAGCACTGTGATAGACACTTGACATACCTTATCTTGAAGAAATGAATGACTGGACTTATCAGAGAGACCGAGCAATTTCTAGGTAGGGTAAATTATAAAATTGGAAGTGGAAGGGCCCCAAGAAATCATCTAGGCCAGAAATTCTTAGTTCATGGTTGATGTCACCCTTTGGGGTACATGTATACGTTTCATGAAATTTTGTGTAATGTTTTGCATATCTTTCTGAGGGGAATTGGGTCCATTAGATTCTCAAATGGGCCTATCACCTCTTGAGAAGTTAAGGGCTACTGATCTAGTCTGATCTTAAGCTTAAACAGATAGTTTTGTTCAAGGTCACACAGCCAGTTAGTGACAGAGATGGGGACTGACCCCCCAGGTCCTTTTCACTTGTAGTTTCTTCCTCGTTTCACTACACTCAGTTGAAGGATGTGAACAAAAGCAGAGGCAGGATTAAGCTACCATGTAATTGGTGTAAAAGCAACTACCCAGGGGTCAATAGTCTGCTTATCTATTTGCACAAGAGTTATGGAAGAATGGGCTTCAGTTTGTCTTCCCAAAGTGAACTAATAATTTAATTTTTATGGTTGAAATTCACTGCCACTCACCAAAATAGCTGAAGGCAAACTCCCTGAGTGTCCCTGAGGCTGTTTCTGCAGTTCCTTTCCAATTGATACAGTTCTGACCTGCAATGGCCTCCACTTTCTGCTTAATCAAATCAAAACTGTTTTGCCTTATTTGTTAGTTCCTTAACTACTGTAGCCTATTTAGCCAATGAGTACTCTATGCCCCAGTCAGGCTAATGTCCTTATTGTTGGCACTCCCTACTCTCCCAAAGTCCTTTCATTCTTACCTTTGTTATTTTTCTTAATGTGGTTCTCCTGCTGAGAATGCCCTTCTTTCTCCTTCATTTCCAGGTCCTTAATTTAAGGTCCAACTTAAGTCTAATCTCCACGGAGCCTCCCCTAGTTATTACTCTTGGCCATTTTACACTTCCTCTGAACTCCTGTTGCATTTATTGCTTACACTGCATACCGTGGCACTTAGTTATTGGAAATGCTTCAGTGGTCACTTTGGGAGAGGGGTTCTAGGAAGTCCTGGATGTAACTCTGGACATCCCTAATCCTTGTTTCAGCCAGACTGATTTCACTTTCGTTTTATGTATGGGCAGTCTGCATGGGTTTTTATTTGATGAAATGGTTTATCTGCCCCCCTCCCCTCAAAAGAGTTTGAAAACACTGGATCTGTTGTGTGCTGATTGCCTCATAAGTGCAAGGTCCAGGACTTACATTGCTTTGAACTTAACACTCTCAGGCAACTGGTACAATTTTGAGCACAAAGTGGACACTTAGGAAATGGTTTTATGATTGTATTCTCAAATTTGGGGATAGGAGATAGTGAATAGCATTACCTAAGAATTTTACCTTAATGAGGAACTCAATACTTCTGGGTTGATCTTTGAGAAGTAAACCTAAATTGGTAGATAGGTTTTCCCTTTTGCATACAAAACCAAATCCAATTTAAACCTGTCTAGTTTACCATACACATATTAAGAGAAACCTCATTATTGACTGACATTCCCTACTTTCCCAAAGTTTAGCCCAACTTAAAGTTCATATTCATGAATTCGTGTAAATATTAAACTGGTGTTACTCAACTGTCTTACAAATGATGTGCAGAGTAGCAGTACACCTAAAAACCTAGAAAAGATTAAATTCAGAAGTTTATGGCAATGATTAAAGATAGTAAATGCCAGTCTTTCAGACCAGTTATTTCAGCTTTCTGTATCAAATCAATTATTATAAACTAATAAAGTCTTGAGTATTTAAATCAGTGGTGCTGCCAACTTTTTAATACTCTTTTTTTTTTCCCCCTGCTCTCTGCCTGGTTCATTGTCTTCACCTACAGGTGTACTTTATTGTCGGCTTCCAAAGATTACTAACTTTTATCTGTATCAGTAAAATCGAATTGTCTTGGCTATACTGCTATTCTTACTGCTGCTTCCATTATTGCCTTCTTCAGCAAAATAAGGCTTTCCGAGCCAAAGAATAACAAGAAATAAACACCGTTTTAGAAGCCTTGCCACTATGAAACTTAAGCTAAATGTGCCCACAATTATTTTGCTGCCTGTCCACTTGTTAATAACAATATACAGTGCCCTTATATTTATTCCATGGTATTTTCTTACCAATGCCAAGAAGAAAAACGCTATGGCAAAGAGAATAAAAGCTAAGCCCACTTCAGACAACCCTGGAAGTCCATATCGCTCTGTCACGCATTTTGACTCGCTAGCTGTCATAGACATCCCTGGAGCAGACACTCTGGATAAATTATTTGATCATGCCGTATCCACATTTGGGAAGAAGGACAGCCTTGGGACCAGGGAGATCCTAAGTGAAGAAAATGAAATGCAGCCGAATGGAAAGGTTTTTAAGAAGGTAAAGCATTTTTGTGCTTTTTATTTTCTTAAGAGGAGGGTACATTTTACTTTATCATAAATCAAATGCATTTTAAATACTCTTACATTGCATTATATTGTTGTGTAAATAATTCTTAGAAGGTACCAATAGCTTTTGTATATTCCCTTAAGGGAAATTTTAGAGTTTGTATTTCGAATGGTATTTTAATTGCTTGTTTGAGTAAATATACTAATCTTAGGGAATGTCTCACTTTAACAGTTAATTCTTGGGAACTATAAATGGATGAGCTATCTTGAAGTGAACCTCAGAGTGAATAACTTTGGTAGTGGACTTACTGCATTGGGATTAAAACCAAAGAACACTATTGCTATTTTCTGTGAGACCAGGGCCGAATGGTTGATTGCGGCACAGACCTGCTTTAAGTACAACTTTCCTCGTAAGTGCCTTGTGTTTTTGGAGGGGAAGAGAGAGGGCTTTGCCTTACATGTGAAATTGTCCTGAGATCCTCTAGTTTTCGAAGTAGGTGTTCTTTAATCATTTGCATAAATTATTTCTGTAAAACACTATGTAATGTAGTTAAAAGATATCTCATAACTTCTGTTAAAGATAGCTTTGGTCTACAGCCATGCTACTCCGAACAAGCCCAATCCTGTCTGATTTCGGAAGCTAAGCAGGGTTGGGCCTGGTTAGTACTTGGATGGGAGACCACCTAGGAAGACCAGGTGCTGTAGGCATAAAAAATAATAATAAATAAGTAAGTAAATAACTTTGAAGAGCTAGTATGAGATTTGACAGATTAATGGATAGAATTTAGAATTTTACTTCTTAAATTGGAAGTGAAATTGTACCTGAAAGATTTAAGGTTTGGGGGCATTTTTAGGAAGTTACCCACAAAATAATGACAACAAAAAAAATCATTGCTTAGGATAATTCTAGTTAATTTCTTTACTTCAAGGCCTCTTATTTGACTTTTTCCATTTTACATGTAAAAGAAACACATGGCAGCTTGAACTGGCATTAGGTATGTTGGCCAGAAAGTAAAATTGGGTGTGTTTCTGATTCTTATAGCCATTGTGAAAAAAAAAAAAGATTTAAAAAAATTACCAGTCCAGTACCTGTCACATGCTAAGTACTCAGTTATTTGTTGAATGAAATAGAACACTACAGGAATGGTGTAGGAATAGAGTTTGCATTTCATGACTAGTTAGTCATTTCAATTCCCACACAGATTAGTGACCTTCAAGCCTAAATTGAGGGGGCAAGATCTATTCCTTAGGAGCTATCAGAGTTAGTTAAATTACAAATATTTATTGTAAATATTGTAAATTAAACCCACTAAAATAGAGTTAGTCATTTCATGACTAACATGAAAATGATCCCCTGTGTACCCATCACCCAGCTTTAACAATCAACAGCTTGTGAAAAGCGGCTGTTCTTAACCATGTTGTTGTTTGAGTTACCAGCCTAGAGCTGAATTTCCAAGTCTGACCTAAGTTTAGCAGATATCCTCTCATTCTAACTGATCTCGGTTTCAGTTTGTTTTCTTTTTCTGATAGCTCCTAAGGAGTAGATCTCCTTGCCCCCTCAATTTAGGCTTGAAGGTCACTAATCAGTGTGGGAATTGAACCCACCAAAATAGTTTCTTAGGAGGAATGAAAACATGATTCATGGCCTATCTTCTGACTTGAAATCCTCAAAATCTGAGGAATCTCGATTACTTATCTGTTCTTTGGTGCTATGACCAGTGAAAGCGTGTGTCAGAAGAGAGCCCTAGCTGGGATAGCTCTGACCTGCATTAAGAGTTCGGCCAGAACCTTTTCTCCTTGAGAATTGTAATTGACTGATTTTCGACCAGTTGTGGCACTTCCTGTATTTCTAGGTTTCATCAGGTTTAGAAAGTTAGAATCCTGAGAATTCGTGAGGAAAATTTGGGGGTACCAGGAAGTTTGAGGCAAGGTTGAAGGGTAATAGCAGAGATTATCAAATTAAATTATAAAATGTCTTTTTTGTCTGTGAGTGTACCAATCATTAAAGGCTGACTTAAATACTGTCATACCAAATAAATATTTGTAATTTAACTATTGTGTTTATTTTTATTATGTAGTTGTGACTTTATATGCCACACTTGGCAAAGAAGGTGTAGTTCATGGGTTAAATGAATCTGAGGCTGCCTATCTGATTACTAGTGTTGAACTTCTGGAAAATAAACTTAAGGTAAATATGAAATTTTCTTTTAATTCATGGTAGTGTTATCTGACAGGTCAGGAAAGTATTCAGTAATTGAGTTTATTACAGGCCACATTTAATAGCTGGATTTTCTTTCTGCTCAACAGACTGCACTGTTAGACATCAGTTGTGTTAAACATATCATTTATGTGGACAATAAGACTATCAATAAAACAGAATACCCTGAAGGATTTGAGATTCACAGCATGCAATCAGTAGAAGAGCTGGGATCCAAGCCAGAAAACTGTAAGTAAAACAGTTAAATTTATTCATCTATTCGAGATTTGTTATTTCCGTAGATTAGGAAAAGAAGTGATGTGAGTGAAAATTGTAAAGTTCTTTGATTAAAAAAAGTTTAAAAATGAAAAAAAAAAAACCCATCAAGACCATATATGATTGAGATTTTCCTTCCTTTCTCCTCAAAAAAGTAACCACTGTTTTAAAATTTACTAAATAGTGGAGATACACTCAATGCATCAGACTTTATGGTGGTTGCTGCCAAACTTTTTTCAAATAACCTACTGTAACTGTCCAATTTGGACCTCGCCTGAGGAAAAGGTCTCAGGCCTTCCATTTACTAAACTGTTTTTAATTCATAATTCTAGTGATGTTAATGATGTCACAGAGGATGCAAAACTGTTTGCCAGGATTCATGCTTGGATTTATTCTACCACTGAAGTGGTAGTTGGTATGTCATTTGAAACAAGTAAATCTGCCTTGTAGCAAAATATCAGCTGGTCATCAGGACGGAGGGTTGAGGAAATTAAATACTTAATTTAAATAGTTTTTCTTTCATGTTTAATGTGAAGGTCACGATACTCCACTAGATGAAGAAAGGAGAAAAAATGTTGGTTGAAGCTTTGTTTAACTTTTGAATATTTATGACCATTAGAGACTGAACACATGTTTGAAATAACAGGTGTCAAGTATAGCACTCTACCCCTTGTGGAGCATAGCAGAGAGGCTGAGATTTTACCTACCTTGCAAACAAACAAATGAGCTTGCCACAGTTCCTTGGAGATACAAGATTCCTGGGTCAGAGATGAAGTGTTTTACTCACAGAAATAGCAGTACCCAGGGTATCAGCCTTTGTATTGCTTTCCTGCACTCCAGTCTCCACAGGGCAATGCAAAGAGGGTTAAATGACATCTACACATGCAGTGGGTTCTGTTATAGGAGAGGAACTCTGAGCTAAGGGAATCTGAATCTTTTATAATGGGCAATAAGCATGCCTATCCTATGCCCTGGAGAGAGAGAGATTATATCGTATTAGACAGTAAGCATGCCTACTCTTTGCTCTGGAGGGAGACACTATTCTCGATTTTCCAAGGCTGTTCACTGTGGAAACATCCTTGAAAAGATTGTCTGGAATAAAGTCAGTACCTCTACTCACAAAATGTGCGGAAACTCAAGAGACCCACGGAGAATTGTCTCTCAACACGAGGTTGACCCTGCAAGATTGGGGTAAACTTGACTGGGAAGTCCTTATTGGTAGGGATCTGTTGCCAGTTCTGATTCACCAAAGGATGTCAGCACAAAACTATGGGGGTATTGGGTTCTCATAATTTTGTGGGAGCAATGACATGATAGAACACATATTCACCTAGTTCCACTCATCTGTACATTAAATAAGATACACATATTCTTTGTGGTACTTTATCTGAGTAGATACTTGTTACGATGATAAGAAGTAAAGTGTCACATTGTGTACTTAGACTGAGAGAATCTTAACCTATCTACTGCTTCTACATCCATTAGTCTCCGGAGGAAGGATCTAGTTCCTACATGCTTGGTTTATAAACTCTGCAGTAGAGATCTTTAAAGAGCATTTACATTAGCCAATTTAAGTATAACTTATCTTTGGTTATTTCAGTTGGTAAATCAAAATCACACTGTTTAAAATTTTCATTTTAGCTGGTACATAAAATTATAATTCATTTTCATAAACTGATTTAAAAAATAGTTTATTTTATAGAGCAGTTATAGAGTCACAGCAAAATGAAGGGGAAGGTACAGAGAGTTTCCATATACCCCCGGCCCCTCCTCCAATACATAATCTCCCCCATTATCAACATCCTTCACCAGAGTGATACATTTGTTAGAATTGATGAACCAGCGCTGATACTTCATAATCACTCAAGGTCCATAGTTTACATTGGGGATCACTCTTTGTGTTGTACATTCCATGGGTTTAGACATATATAATGACATGTATCCACTATTATAGTATCATACAGAGTATAAACTAATTTTTAAAAATCTAACAATCTTGTTAAGCTTTTATTTAATTCTGATAATATACCCAGGTATTCTGGACATTTGGTCTATTCTGGAAAGGAAAGGAAGTTACTAGGTTAGCATGATACACTATCTTGAAGTGCGTTTAAAACTTAGCATGTTGGAATTTGAGAGTCGAAGTTACCTTAATGATCAAGTTAATAATAACAGGATGCAAGGAAACTCAGGGAGGTGATGGATATGTCTCCTACCCTGATTGTGGTGATAGTATTATGGGTGTTTGCATAAGTTCAAATAATTAAATTGTATATTCAAATGTGTACGAGTCTTTGTATATCAGTTATACCTCAATAGAGCTATTATAAAAATAGGAACAGTTTAGATATATATTATTTCTTGTAAATAGCACTGTCGTCAATTCAACCTAAATTAAATTAATAGTAAGAAGCAAACTTATGTCACATGAAAACTTTTAAATATGATATGTACAGTGTTTAGACTTTTAGATTATGTGTATTAGCACTTAATATCGGAAGTTGTAGTTTTGCTCAACTTTTTGTTTAGTTAGTATTGTGGGATGACAAAAAAGTATGTCTGTAATAGCAATTCCCTTTATTAATAGGCTAGAAGATACTTTTAAGTAACAATATTTATAGCTTTTTAAATTATTTTCTTTTTCTCTACGTATGACTGTCCTAATTATATTTATTGAAACCTAATTTGTTGTCTGTTTAACCTAAAAATGTTGAACTCATATCTTTTTTATTTTGTTTTTCTAGTAATTCATTTTTATTTTATTTTTCAAAAGCATCCATTCATAAACTGTAAGGGAAATAAATAGATCCTTACAATAGATAGTTCGATGAGCATGACTCTAGTGCACAGGCTGGCAAATTACAGCCTGCCATCTGTTTCTCTATGTAAAGTTGGATTGGAACACAGTCACATCCATTTGTTTCACAGTTGTCTATGGTTCGTTTCACTGTACAACAGTAAAGTTGGGTAGTTGTGATAGAGACCATATGGCCCTCAAAGCCTAAAATATTTATTGTGTGGCCCTTTGAAAAAAAAAAATCTGCTGACTCTACTCAAGACGGCTGAACATAATCTGTTGGGAAGACCTCTCTATTTTCCTCCCCTAATCATTCAATAAACAGAGATCTGGGGCCCAGAACCTTTAAGATGATTAAACATTCTTATCTTCAGACAGAATGCTGAAAGAAGTGAAGTTTAGATACTATTTAGATATTACCTTTGATAGGGAATGGAGTATAAACCCCTCAACATGGTCTCTGGCTTTTGATACCCTAAAAGTCCTCTTCAGTTTTTATTAAAACTGAATCTATGTATTGTCTGATTTACATAGGGGAAGAAGTACTAAATCTGGAAGACCCAAAAGAATGTGTTACATGTATAATGATATTCTAATTCAATGTCTCTGGTTTAATTGTTTTAAAATAAAATTATTTTTGTAAAAATTTAAAAAATTAATCAAGTCTAGTGGTTTCAATCAGGGGTATGTGGAGCTTTTGATCTATCCCGGACATACAGAATCAGAATTTTAAGAACTAGGATCCACAGATGGTATTTTATTTAAGCTCCACAGGAGATTCCCAGGCATACCAATGGTTAAGAACTATTAATCTAGTCCCAACTGACTCATTTTAGAGATGAGAAAACCCAGGCCTGAAATGCTAATCCACAATGTCCTTACCTTCCTGATTCTCCAATGTCCTAGAAATTTTTCAAACCACTACTTTGTATACAACACTGTGGAAAGGCATGAACAGGCAGGGATTAGGGTACATATCCAGAAAATGGGCCAAGTTGAGTTTGAAGTTCTCATTGCAGTTAATCAGAATTTAATAACTTTTTTTCTTTTGATTTTCAGTGGGGAGACTTTGTTTTAAATAATTTATCATTACGTCAAAATCTAAAAATTGTATCCTTGTGTAGCAATTTCACTTTTAAACTGAAGAAAAATGTGGTGCCTTTTTATTCATTTAGCAAGCATTGCTCCAAATAGACCAGCACCTTCGGACATGGCTATCGTCATGTATACCAGCGGTTCTACTGGCCGACCTAAGGGAGTGATGATGCATCATTGCAATTTGATAGCTGGAATGACAGGCCAATGTGAGAGAATTCCTGGCCTGGGGTAAGAACCATTTGACTTTCTTCTCAGAAATCAGAGCTCATGTTCACATTTTCTAAACTCGATCTATATTAAAACAATAAGGTTATTTATGTTTCTAATTTACAATAACTTTTTAAGATTGGCTAAAATATTTCTCTTGTTTTAGACCTAAGGACACATATATTGGCTACTTGCCTTTGGCTCATGTCCTAGAACTGACAGCAGAGATATCTTGCTTTACCTATGGCTGTAGGATTGGATATTCTTCTCCACTTACCCTCTCTGACCAGGTGACAAACTTTTCATTATATTAGCATGATCATATTAAATGCCATTGTTTGACTGAGAACATACTACTAAAACATGAGATATTTTAAGTCAGCTAAAACTTTTTCCATGATTTCAAAAAGAGTTCCCATGAGCAATATGTAGCACTAGTAAATAACCTTGTGTATTTGTTAGCATTGCTTTATTTACATATTTTATTATTATTTTGAAACCAGTGATTACTTTCATCTTGTCTTTCTGTATTAGATTTTTATTTTGGAAAGCTAGGAGAGAAAATATAAATATACTGAGCTTCTTGGGGTTTTAGGGGAGATGTGGTAGGATTTAGGCCCAATTTTTCTCTGAGTTTTCTCTAGAGTTGTGCTGTCCAACACAATAGCCACTAGCCACATGTTGAAATACAGCTTAATTTTAATCAAATCAGAAAAATTTAGTTTCCCAGTTGTTCTACCATATTTCAGGTTCTCAGTAGCTACATGTGACTAGTGATTATCATATTGGATAACACAGATAGTGAACATTTCCATCATCGTGGAAAGTTCTGTTGGATAGCACTCACTGCAACATGTCCAAAGACAGCACTCAACTTTCTACCCTGAGTCAGGCTTCTCCCTTCACCTTCTTGTTCATAGCTGGAAGCCCAACAGCAGGTACAGCTAACTCATGTTTTTAAGCTCATTTGAAATCACACGTGAAACCTAATACCTACTGTCCACAGTCCTGTATAATTTCTCCTTTGGAATAGTGGCTATAGAAAAGCTTCAACCAGACACTGTGGCGGGGGGGTGGGGGAGGCGAACTTCTCAGGGAGCTGTGGAGTTTAAAATGCTGAAAGATAAACTGAGTATAGATAGGAATGACTTGATTCCCTGTGCAGCTTCTTCTACTCCCATCACTGGAGGCCCAACTGTTATTTTTCAGAACCCCAGGTAATGCTGCCTTTTATTTGGGAGTTTTGGTTGCACATTCATTTGGTAAGAAGACGTGCCCTTGGCATTCACAGTTAGAAATTGTAATACTTTTTTTGTAGAAATACCATTTTAGGGAGAGATTAGGTAGGTTGCGTAATATTAAGATAAAATAACTAAGTAGATTTTTTGAGATTTAATTGGGATCGCAACCATCTATTTTTTTTTGGTTTGTTTTTGGATGTAAACTTAAGGTGCACAAATCTTAAATGTACGGCTTGATTAAATTTAACATACATATATAAACTTCTGTGATGACACCATCTAGGTCAAGAAAGAAGGAACAGTTCCAGATCCCAGAATCTCCCTTGTGTCTCTTCCTAGTCATTACCACTATCCTCCACCCCCAAGGATAATACAACCGACTTTTAAAGTGGCTTTTCCATGAGAAAATGTTTTTCGTTCTAAACAACTACTACCTACTTTGTACTTTAAGGAGTATAACCTCTTTGTAAGATGGAAAGCTGCTGTGTTTCACCAAACCACTCAGCTAAAAGTTCACATTTAAAATCCACTAGAATAGTAGAGAGAATAAGTAAACTAACTATGAAGTAAACTAATAACAGGACTTGATCTAGTAAAGTCAAAAGAGACCTATGAATAAGACTGGGGCTTAAATTGTAAAAAAAAAAAATGTTGAAAAATCTGTGATGATTGCATTTGATGCATTGGTAGTCAGTTGTTCTTATGTTCAGATGTTTCCAGAATGTGAAATATATTTCAGTAAGTTTTGAGTATGATTTTTTTCCTACAATGGGGAGGTTCAGAAGCTAGAGACTAGCAACCTTTGTTTTCACTGCCTTTCTGATAACAGTAGCCTCAGCGTGAGGAAAGTGGGGCAATTGGAGTCTGTTGCTGGTCTGACTTCATTCTTGCTCTCTTAGGCAAAGTAGTACATTAGAAGCCTGTTACAAAAGTGTTGGGGGCATTCACACCTACCTTTTTAATAAACTTTATTATAAAGAGTCTCAATCAGACTAGGAATCTAAAACCCAAGAGTCTCCCTCACATAGGAAGTCAGAAAAAGGTAGGAGACCAGGGTACCACATTGGAAGCCAGCAGATGATAGTGATATTGTTGTAACTAGGGTCACTGTGATCATAATAAAGACAAGAACTGGAATATTACTAAGAATTATAAAGAAAGCCAGGAAGGGCTCCTTGGGGCTACTGCTATTTAACTGCTCTCTATAGCAAAAACCGGTCAGCAATATGTGGAAGGCAGCTCTGACTTGAAGGATGTTAAGAGCCCATCTTTTCCTCTATGGGCCATAGAGGTGTGCATGTGCAGTGTAGGTTTCCATTCACAAATGTGAACACCCTTGCACATACATAAAACACAAGGGGTTATTTTATTTTCTCTGTGTCTTAAAGAAAAGTAGGATAAAAACTATTGAGTTCTACTAGCAGAACCTTCTATATGGCAGAGCTGGTGGTACTAGTGGATCACATTGCTTCTTAAGAGCTGGGTTTTTTTTTTTTTAATTTTGGGTTTTGTTTTTATTTTTGCCTGTCTTGGCCATGGCCAACACATGATACAGCTAAACTTATAGCCTAATGAACCACATTATAGCAGATTATTATTTTTATCTAGCTATTTCAGTGGGCAGTTATCAATTTTTCTACCTACAGATCTGACATTTGAAATCCCAAAAAGTATTTATGTGCAAAAGAAGAATCGAAAAGAAAAAATATATACACATTTACACATGTATGTGCATATCCCCCCATGGTCACTGGCAGTGTCTTCAGTATTTTGTCAACCAAAATGCTATCCAGTTAGTATTTCTGTATGTTAATTGATATTCATAGTGGTGACTTTGAGATGTGGCTTTGCCTTTTGGCTAATCAAATTAACTTATAATTATCTTCAGTTTTGTTTTAGTGTCTGATCCACCTTAGTTGAGGTGTTTTGTTAAAAACAGATAGTCTAGCCTATGTTTGATGATAATATTATTAATAAGAATGCTTCATTTACCAAAATATCCCTTTCTCCTTTATTCTGGATTTGAGTTTCCCCTCTATGGAAGGCTGAAATGTGCTGGAAGAAAGAATACAGGATAAATCACTAAAGCACTTACACTTCAGACTTAAGATTATGATAGTTCTAACAGATAACTCGCAGAGCAGTAGAAGATCAAATTCTATGTGTAAATTCCTGCCTTTGTTATTGTTAATACTTGAATTATAACATTTTTTGCTAAGATTAGTTGTCCTGATCCTATTTAATTTTTCTTTAATGTAGTCCAGCAAAATTAAAAAAGGAAGTAAAGGAGACTGTACTGTACTGAAGCCTACACTCATGGCAGCTGTTCCTGTGAGTAGAGTATAAATGTCATTTATTGCTTGCATTTGGATTTTTAAAAAGTAATATTAGGTATTGTATATATTTTTAAAATAATTTTACTTTGTTGAAATTATGGCATATGTGTTGCTTAAAATAAATCTTAGTATAGAAAAGATGAAATGGCAGACTTCTGAAATGTATGTCTGGTAGTGTTTGCTGATACTTGAACATTAGGTGATAAAAATGTCTGAGTTCAAATTACCTACTGTGAGGATTGGTCATAATATTTTAAAGGTAGACTATACTCTAAAGATCATTTTGTTTAATCGCTTAATTAAAAAAATGGGGAGATGCCAGCCATCCTGGAGAACTGAGGCAGCATATCCAAGGTTAAGGAGCTGCTTAGTTATAGCTGAGTCTAGAATCCAAGCCTCCTGACCCTGGTGGTGCTTTGATTAAGAAAACTGTCATTTGAGAGAGCTCCCAAAGAAAAAATATATTAATTTTAGATATTCAAAATCCTTATGTGAAGTACTGCCTTTTACAAAGATAAGATGTTACATTTTATAGCCTTGTAATGACAGATTCTAAAATATTTAATGCAATGTTTCACACTTGTATAATCAAATATATTTTACCACTTTAAGATTCAGAAACTTCAGCGGGGCTACATATCTCTACTGCTTGTATTACGATCAAATTTTAAACCTTATCCCAATATCTTTCACAGAATTGTCTTTGCACATGGAAAATATGAGATTAGATAATGAAGTGTTCAGTCCAAGTATTTCTAAGAATTATAGATGGTGTACTTTGTATTTTTTTTTTATTATGGTGACATTGATTAACGAAACCCAGTAACTTTCAAGTGTATAATTCAACTGC